GGATTACTGCAGACAAATTTTCTGTAACAGTAACCTTAAGCCGTGAATTTAAGCCCATAAGCCAATCAGGATACTATTTTAGATCTAGTATTCTAACAGAAATAGAAACAGCAGTAAACTAAAGGTCGGAACACATTTCCTGTAAAGCCGAAATCAGACTATGTATTGAATGAGATTGAAGATTGACAGATTGAAGTCTAATCAATCAGAACAAAAGGAGCCAAAATTTCTTTATCCTCCTGGTGAAATTTCAATTTTTAATCTTTAATCTCAATCTTCAATGCATGAGCTGCGTTCGGCAATGCAAATCTGAGGCGTTTGAGTACTCTTTTTCTACACGTAAGTCAGTACACGTGACATATGCTGTACGAGCACTCCGACGCCTCAAATTTGCATTGCCGAACGCATCTAATAGCCTGGATCCGGCCTAACAGTAACCATAAGACATACAGTAAGTATGAGCTAATCACAGTCGAGAAATCTCTTGAACTCTTTTTTAAAGAAATTTTAATTGGCTGATTCTTACCGTCTTATGATTACTGTTACGGAAGGTGTGTGCCATGACCTTTATCCATAAAGTAAGTTTCAGTTGAAATTTACCTTATTACGAGGTTATGAATCTGAAAGTTTACTGTTATTTCTATTTTCGACGTATTTAAATTACGTAGACTAAAGCAATATCGTGATTGGTTCATTGGCTTATGTTTACTGTTTTACGGTCACTGTTGCGGAATTTTGTGTGCGACACCGCTAATGGTTAGATCCATGGATAAAAATCAATCGCTTGGTGAGCAAGCTGTATTCCGAAACTTATAAAAAAAAATGTGCAAAAATTGCAATCTTTCTGTGACCGGCTATATCAATTGCACACGAGTCAATTGCGCACAAGCCGATCACAGCACTCGAAAGAGAATAAAAAGAAATTTTGTATGTTTATACATATTTATACAATACATAATTAATCAAGCATAAAAATTTATTTATAGGATTTTTATTCTCTGTTTTTATTGTCTGTGCTTTTTATTGTGTTTTCAGCTTTATCCTCAATATATCATTTAATGTTCTACAGTTAAAATACTATATAATAAATAATATTGTATAATAAATCGCGTTTTAATTATGATATTCGTAATCAGGAAAGTCCTGAAATCACTCTAGAGTACACATTTATATTAAATGTATAAGATAGTGTTACTTTCGAGGACAATGTACATTTGTAAATATTATATATATCGTTCATTTCAGGGACATCTACAAAATATATAGTTTTCTAGTATATGTATTATATCTATTGAGTTGTGTTGCGTTGTGTTGCTCTATAGAACGGTTTCACACAACAATTCAACAGATATAATACATACACTTGAAAATTATATATTTGTTGCTCCTGAAATGAACGATATACATTTGCAAATGTATGTACATAGATCCCGAAAGTAACATTGTCTTATACATTTAATACAAATGTGTACAAACAAAAAAGATGCATTATGTACACTTCAGTGATTCCGCATTTATGTATACCAAAAAAACAATGTATTAGTAAAAGTCCCCAAAAACTACAATTAATACACACACATATATATATATATATGTATATACACATAGTGCGACAAATATGTTCCCGGACAGGGCCTGAAATAATTGAAACAACAATATGCATATTTTTTGGTTTTATTATTCAAAACATTCTCTGGCTTCAATACACTTGTTACAGCGATTCAATAGTGATTCAAATGCATGTTCTAGCTCAGTTTGCGGAATTGCCTCTAGTGCCTGTGTAGAAGTTGATTGGATGGTCGGAATGTCATCAAAAAAGCGTCCTTTCAATTTCAATTTCAATTTTGGGAATAATGAGAAGTCGCAAGGGGTCAAATCAGGTCAATCAATACGGTGGATGGTTTAACACAGAGACACGATTTCGAGCCAAACATTGACGGACAATCAATGAAGTGTGACTCGGTGCATTATCATGCAACAAAGACCAATTTTCTGGATCACGATATTCGGGGCGAATACAATGAATTCTGCCCATCAATTGCTTTAAAACTTCGAGATAATATGCACCAGTAATTGTTTGGAACAAACTCTTTGTGGATAATACCTTTGCTATCAAAGAATGTGATGAGCATTGTCTTGATTTTTGATGGAACTTTTC